CTTTAAACGGGTCCAAGAAGCCAGGCCCTGGTAAATGACGTCCTGTGTGATTATCTCAACATATTTGTCTTCGTCACTGGCTGGAGGGCAACGAGCAACCTGTCCTGGTTTGGACAGACCAGAAGAACTTGGCCCTACCTTCAGTCCGCCAAATGTTTAAATCCCAGGCAAGCCCACTGGTCCTTGTTCTTTTCCCGATTCAACCTCTCGATCTCCTTCCGACCCGGCTCCAAGAACATTAAACCTGATCCCCTCTCCCACCTGTATTCCCCTGAAAGATTTGAGGAGGAGTTATCTCCCATTCTTCCTCAGACCTGCAAATGTTAAGCCCTCCACTGGGAGATCGAAGCTCTAGTCTCGGAGGCCCTGTGGATTGAACCCCACCCAGGAGGCGGCTCCCCGGACAGAACATACATCCCAAGTGCTATCTGGCACCAGGTGATCCAATGCTTTCAATCCGCAAAGATCTTTGCTCACCCTGGAGTCCATCAAACCAGCTCAAACATTGGCTCTCTCTCCATCGCAACGTACGGGAGTACATCTTAGCCTGTCCCACCTGTGCTAGGAACAAGCCACTGTCAGGTCCAGTGACTCCCCATCTCTGACCGTTCTTGGTGACATATTGCCTTGGACTTCGTAGCTGGGCTGCCCTTGTACCAAGGCATGGTGGTCATCTTAACCATTGTGGACCACCTTTCCAAAATCCTGCCATCTGGTCCCCCTCCGCAAGCTTCAATCCGCTTTCCAGGTGCTGGTTAAGCATGTTTTTAGATTACATTTGATACCCCAAGACTTCCTCTCAGACCGAGTCCCTCAGTATACCTCCTGTGTCTCGAAGGAGTTTGCCACCTCCCTTGGGGCCACCTACACCCTCTCCTCTGGTTATCATCCTCAGAACAATGGACAAACGGACAGATCTGGTCAGACAGATCCTCTCAGCAAGTCCATCCAAACCATCTGTCCCCTTGAGATCCCAGCGCTCTTACGGCGCAAAGCCAGCTGACAGCCACCTGCCTCCGTCCCACAGTTCATTCCACCGAACCCAGTCCGCCTCCATCCATCAGCCACTTTCCCTCAGTGCAGCCGCCTCTCCCGCTTCAAGCACCAACAACACCGGCCTGTGGGAGCCGCAGCACCTGCTCACTCTCCCCTGTGGATCGTTCTGATCCTGTGTGGTACTGTAAGCCGAGCTTTAATTCCATCAACATTTCCCTTAACCTTGATTAATATTTCTCATCTTGTGTCCTGTGCTCTCTCGTTTTTTTTCTTTTCTTCTGTTGTTAAAATAAAGTTTGTTTTGCAGGTGGGTCAGAAAACTCAACACCATGACAGAAAGTAACCACTTGGTTTCTGGAAATTTTAAGGAGAGTATATGTTAGGTTCTCTTTATGATTTTAAAGTAATAGAAAGTGCTGTTGGTAATATTCTCTTGTGTCTTCATGTGTAAAATAAAAACAAAACAAAAATGTGTACCTTAATAGTTCATTTATAATTAGTTTTTACTTTGTTGTTAAATAATTTACCCATTTCTGCTGGTTGATGTCCATCAGAAAACCTTGAAGAACTTTTTCAAGGTTGGGTACTGGTGGCCAGAAATACTGCTTGAGCTTCCTAAAAAAGAACACAAAAAAAGAATGCTGTACTTATATTAATGAAATTTTTTTTTTCTATGAAATTTCCAATGACCTTTATAACCAGTGTTTTTCACAACCATGTTAGGCTACGTTCACACTGCAGCCTGAAGTGACCCCAATCCGAATTTTTGGCCCATATGCGACCTGTATCTGATCTTTTCATGGCTGTCTGAACAACACAGATCTGATTTTTTCCAATGTGACCAAGGTCGCTTGGCTATGTGGTCCTGAATCCGATACAAATGTGATATTTTCAAATGCGACCTGTGTCTGAGCAGCCAGGTTGCATTCATCAGACCTGAATGCAATTAATAGTGACAAAGGTCACTATTCTGGGTCTTTCTATGAAGAAGCAGCAAGAAAAACAACAACCATGGTGGACGATAATGCGGAGAGTAGTATTTATGTTAACCATCTTGAAAAGATTGTGTTTTTATGGTTGGGAAAGATCGCTAGATGCACCACCATCTATGATTACTTCTGTAAGCACAGTGCACACTGGCTTGTGACGTCATTGCGTCCTCTACTGCACATGCGGGACACTTGCATTGCGTGACTGTAGTTCACACAGGAGATCACATACAAGACCCATATATTTGCAAATGTGAACGGAGCATCAAGGCTTGCCTGCAGTGTGAATGTAGCCTTAGATTTAGTCTTAGTCTTCAGGACGAAAATTATTATTAGTCTTAGGTGCATTTTAGTCATTACGACATGTAATTGTTTTAATCGACTAAAACTTAAAAAGGTTTGAGTCTAGTTTTAGTCAGTTATATGTTGTAAAAAAAAGTTCACCTTTACAGTTTCAAATAACAACCAGATTCTTTACCAGGCTGACATCTCTTGCCTAGATACTACAATTGGTGGAGATACAATGTTGCTATTCAGTTCATCATTGCTGTTGGGCAGAAACTTAGATTTATAGAATTTAAATAAACTTTTTATGAATTAATGCCCTACTTTATAAAAAAAAAAATGTCTCAAAAAAGCTATAAAAATAGCAGATCTACTTCAACACATCATATTGGTTAATATACAAGACAGACAAACAAACTAACAAAATGTACAATAAAGGAATGGTTTTAGACATACAATATTTCCAAAGCTAGGTTTTCTAAAGCAAAGACTTCCTGATCTATTATGAAATATGCAATACAGACGGATCCATAAAATCTTCATTGCTCCAAAAAAAGCAAAGAACAAAAATATTCTTCTTTCTACTTTGGCAATTTTGGCTTTATTTCTTCAATTTACCCCTCAGTTACCACTGCTCAGGAGTCAAAGTTGATTTAAATTCGCAGGGTTTTGATAAAGAAAATACAGAGAGAATCTACATAATTGCTTTGAAATGCCAGAGCAATCCAGACCTAAATTGAATGAATATGCAAACTAAAATGTTGAAATATTCAAAAGAAACATAAAAAAAATGTTTTAATGACAATACAAGGAAACATTTACATCATATTTAGGTAGATAAACACGAGAACAACAAGAAAGAAATATTCAAAGATCTATACAACTTTTCACATGGCTCTTTATGTAAAAATAAACAGAAATCAATAATATATCTTATTTGGATATAATTTAGGGATTACTTTTGGTAGAAATTAAAGAAGGTTTAGTATCACATCTTGTGATAAAATATTGATAGTAAAGGGATTTTTTTCGCTTGGCAGAGGATGATCAGCCACATAGTTTAAGTAGCGATAGAAGAGCCATACTGCGTGAGTAAACCTTTACAGAGCAACGTGAAGCACAGACACTGAGCTTTATCAGGGCCACTTTCAAAGAAGTGAGGCCGCGGGTATGCAGCTACCTTCTGTAATTCTAAGCAACTTCTCTGATCTGAGTAAGATTACAAATGATCAGAATCTGTTATCATGTCTCATGGTTATTTAATACATATAAGTTATTAAATGTCATTAAAAGAATTTGTCTCGAGTGATCTCTTTTCAGGGGAAAAAAAACGGAGAGAGAGAGCTTCAAGGTGTAGACACAGAGAGCCTATCTTTAACAGTCCCGTTTCGTTGACGAAAACTAAAACCTATGACTAGTCATGTTTTAGTCATCAAAGATCTACGTTTAACTCGTCAGTTTTTGTTATTGTCCTGAAAAAAGGAGCATCAATGAAATGATTTCGTCATCGTTGACAAAAACAACACTGTAGACATTTTTTAAAAAGGCACTATGTTCAAACATTGTTATTTAAAAAAAAAAAACCATGTGAGAAATTTTATTTATACAATGAAAATGAATGATTTGGACACAAATACCTGAAGTAAATGAAAAAGACTGTGATGAAGCCGATTGCTATGATCAGCATGGAAACACAGATGCACCACATGAGCAACATGTCTAGAAACAATGAGATTGAAATTAGCATGATACAATAATAACCATAGTTTCATTCATGTAGAAAAACAGACTAAATATATCATTGCAATTATGTATACAATTGTGCTGCTGTATTTAATAAAATAGAGGAATATTTTCTAATAAAAGCAGGCAAACAATTATTTAGATTATTTAAAAATTTATTCTTGTTAGTCTTACCTGTGTCATGTGTGGTTGCACCTGAAAAGACATCTGACCAGTCACTCCAAAATCCTGAGTAAATCACCCCCTCAGGTTTAGCTCTTACCCTAACACTGAACTGGCAGCCTGATGTCAACTCTGCACATGTGCTGGTGTTAGACACTATTTTCTGTGGGCCAAATAAAATGAGACAGAACACAGTCATAATTATTTGATATATAGCTGAACCTTTTAACTTCAAATTTGTCTTTGTTTTCATTCAAAACATTTTAGGCAAATTCTTTGCAGTTTTGTATTTGTGAGCATTAATCAAATGTATATAATGAGAAATGAATGTATAAATACATTTAAATTAGCTTATTTATCTTTAATAATTACCTTATTTATTTAATACCATTATAATTTTCAGATTTATTATTAAATTATTTGTTTTTCATATGTATTCTTTTTCCCACTTTTTTTTCTGTTATTTCACTCCATTGATTTCTTCAACCCTATTTATTTGTGCCTGTCTTTTTCCTTTTTTTTGCCTTATTATGTAAATGAGGAGGGGTTGGTCTTTAGGAAACAGCTCCTGACCATTGGTTGGTTAGACTGCATAGGCTCTACATGCCAGGCATAGGCTCTACAGGCCAGTCTCAATCACAACAATGATTGCTATGAGGTTATTAGTTGACAATGAGAACATATTCATCCTTACCCCATAATGCACTAACCAAACAATTATGTTCATGTTGTACTTCAATCATTTTTTTTAAACAAAACCTAAAGATCTTCATTTCCCCAGAGCTGCTCAGAAATGAGATGGAGGCTGAATTTGCCTCTTCTGAATTAATTAGAGCCTGAAGTTCACCTTTAATCTTTTTACAGGATTTTGGGGCTTCCTGTTTTACCATTTGTAATATCAGTCTCTTTGATTAGTCGTCAAATTACCCCTTGTGGCCACATCCCAGAAGGTTGGCTACAGTCCTTCCCGCTGAGGCCTCAGGTAAATCCTCGGATGATCCCAAAAAAATCAATTCCAAAACCCCAGGCTCTTCTAAATAATATGTGCAACTGTAGTCACAGGAACATGAGATGGTCCTATAGTTGTTGTGTTGTTTGAAGCTGGTCTAAAATAATAAGAGCTCATCAATGCTTTGGCATTGCAGAACCATACATGAGAAATCGTACAATACAAACACCAGCCTGGTTAGGGCAACAGACCGTACAGCCCTTAAATAGCGAGCTTGCATTAGTTGCAGGCATGCTAGAATTTGGCAGCAGGTGTAACAGTGGCCTGGTGGCAGAGCAAACACATTCCACCAAATGTAAATTCCACTGGTTTGCTCCATCTTCGTCACACTAACAGAAAATCACAATTAAGGTATTTGAAAAAACTTCAATAATTCCAAAATGGAAGGTCCTCTTTGAAAAAGTTTTATCTGACCATTGTCATGATCCTGCCCTTGGTGGACTTTTTGAGTTTTTATTTAAATTTTATTTTTTGTTATTCTGTTTTCTTGGTAATGGTTTCTTTTTCATTTGCTGTCATTGCAGTTGTTTTCTACTTATTTTTAAGCAGTGCTGTGATTGTTTTTGTTACTCTGTTGCTCCCTTGTGCCAGTTTCCTTTACTCTCGGCTACCTTCTAGTTACTTCTATACACACCTGCTCCATATCAGCTCATTAGCCAATCCTTTGTTCTGTTTCCAACATATACACCTCCTCTACAGTTCCTCATTGCTGGTTTCTTATTGCTTCCTCCCTGTGTTCTCTTTCTGTTCTCTTTTTTTAGGTTTCTTTTTTGTTCTTGGATTTTTGTCTCTGTTGTCTCTAGAACCTCAGTTAAATCAGCTAACCTTATCTTTGCCTGCTCATCACTGCAATCCGGTCCTCTAAAACCTCCAAACAACCTGACAATCGTATACATTTGTTTTAAGAAAGGGGCAATTGCTTAATGTTAAGTTAACCTATGCCACAGATCTACAGCCACACGCATTGGGCTTTACTGTGTTGCCATAGAAATGGCTGCTTTTCTTTTCCATTGGAGGGAAGAAGCCTTCCCATTCTGGTTTATTTCCCCCACCCCACCCCACACACACCTTTAATCAAGGCGGCTTCCACAGCTGCGAAAGAGAGTTCATTGGGTCTGACACTTGATAGTTAAGGGTTAGGGGGCAGTTTGGGATTCAGCCATAGGCCCACCTACTGATTACAAGATTGTAGACACCTGTGATGGCATTTTAACTTAGCATGTCCCTTTGGTCAGATTATTTCTATTCTTTTCCAGAGGCACCATCATTTTGTCCAGACATGTTTAATTTTTAAGTCATTCTGTTGAAGCATGGTTGAAATGCAATGTCTAACTTTCATTGGTTTTTCTTTCATAGAATGTTCTGTCTTATTATTTAGAAGTATTCAAGTTACTTCTGTGAGACTCATGGGTTTTTCTTTCATAAAAAAGGGGTACCCACACATTTTGTACGTGTGTGCTTTTAATTGTTTTGAGAGTCCTATAAAAGATGCATCTACAATATTCTTTTTAATTTCCTCTTATCAAATGACTGACTTTGATTTTCTATTTAAAAATCTTTGTTGGAAATCTAAACTTTCTTAAATGCAACTTACACTCAGTTCTTCACCTCCTTTAATCTGAATGTTAACCTCATACTGCAGATCGCCAGACAAAGAGGGTAGAGGAGCTTCCCAATTTAAGCACAGCTTTTTCTTTATCAGTACTCCTTTCAGCTGACTTGGTGGGACACTTTTAACTGTGAACACAAACACGCATAAGGTTATGATGCAGTCTTACTGTATTTTATGATACCACATGGGCTCTAAGGAAAACAGTGACTTACTTGCCTGCATTGGTAAATACACTGAGCACTAGGAAAAATTCATGAGGTGATCTCTATAAGTGGAAAATTTGCATTTTGCAGAGATTGTTTCTCTTAGATCTCCTCAAATGATGTACATATTTGTTGTATTTATGGGGAAAAAATGCTAAAAGTATTTACTTCTGCCAAGACAGTAATCTTCAAAGTTTTAAAAAGAAGAATCTAAGATGTTTTACTAAAGTAGAACCCAATTTCACTTACTGGACTGGCAGAACAGGAATTCTTCACTGAAGAACAATGGTTTGATCCCAGCTGCGGTGCTGTTGAGCTTGACCTTTATTTTTTCAAATGTGTCTACAGGAAAGGAACATGTATCCGAGACATTTCTTTCTTCATTACATTTACTCCACTCAGTCCAGCCTGAAGATTTTCTATAAGTAATTGGGGGAAAAAAATTTATTAATTTCATAACTAAAATATTTGAGTTTTTTCACACAATTTACAATTTTGACAATATGAACACTTCTTTTTCATGTAAACATATATTGTATGTATGTAATCCATGCAGTCATATGAGATAGCTAATGCAAATTGTGTTGTAAGATTATGTAAGATACATTTCACTAAATTTAAAAATAACTGTTCATTATTTTTTCCAGTTTCTTAAATTATTAAATTGTTTCTTCAAATATACAGTGTCACACATTACGTTGCATTGTTTTCACATATTTGTATTGTTGGTGGTGGGGGGGGTGGCTGGATGTCTTGCTATGCATTTTCTTGACAGTGAGGTCAAATTAATATCCACAACTTCGAAAAATGTATTTAATCTATCTATTTGTATCTATCATATTTTATTTATTTATCAAAAATAATATC